TGTGCTGGCGCCAGCGGCGGGAGCGACAGGCGGCAGCCCGGCTCCGGCCCCTTTGTTCGAGAGAGGCTGCTGGAGTGGGTGGGGGAGCGGAAAATCGCAGTGGAGGGTGTGGGAGCGAGAGAAGAACAACCGTGGGGTCAGGCTGCTGAAAGCATGCGGACCCTATTACTCCTTGGTTGTTTTTTTTTCTTTTTTTTTTTTTTGGGGGGGGGGTGTGTGTGAATGAGGCCGGACCTACGTTTGACGCATTCAAATTCAAGTTTTCACAATCATTCACCATTAAAGTCATGCACACAGAAATCCCACAAAATAAGGATGGAGACCTCCAATGCAATTATTATCCTTCCCCCAAGAAGCAAATCCCATTCAAATTCCCATTCTGTGCAGACTCTGTTGTCACTCTTAATCATGTTGCACAAAGTTACACCGAATCCTCCTGGCACTGGCTGTAACCGATGCATTATACACTTATTTATTTGAATGCTGATGTTCTGCTCCCGAGGTGTAATCGGTGGGGATTGAAAGCATGTTCACCTGGCTGTGGCAGCCCTAGGAACAGGGCATGAGGCAGTTGTAGGTGCAGATAGAGGAGGGAGACAAGGGCTGTGGGAGTCTGGCCAGCCCTGCAGTGCCGAGCACGCCGTCCCCTCCCCACTGCAGCAATCTGGTAATCAGTATTGATAATTTGTAGTCAGTCGGAGACTTATCGCTGCAGAAGGCCCTGTTAGGAATTCTGTCACAAGGGAAGAAAGGGCTCTTCAGCCTTTGATTAATGATCTCGCAGCACACAAATAGAAAGGTTTCTGCAGCAAGAGAGATGCCTGGAACCATTAGGTTTGCCCAGAGACGGATTGACTGTGCCACACCAGTTTGCCTATTAATACCTGGTTAACAAGCTACATACACAAGCAATAAAAAGCAATGTAACTACCTAGGTTTCTAAAGATACTAAATACAACAGCATTCAATTAAAAATGAAAGAAACATTATTAAAAGCATCTTCCTTCTTTAAACTAACACAGGTTAAGGATTCTCTTCACCATTTCTTTGAACCTTATTCTTCCTTACTGTAGGTATTTGTAGAGAAAATTTGGATCTAGACAGCATATTAGAATAAGCCACTTTATTTCGAGAGTTTTTTCAAGGCAACAAATTTTATTTTCATGTGGAAAAATAGGTGCATTCTCAGTCATACCGATTTCCAGTTAGAGCTAAATAAGCTACATTTGTTTTGTACTCAAGCTTTACCCAATAGACCACTGAGAGAACTACAGAGTGCCCGATTTTTTTTCCCCTGTTGAGCACCGTATTTTGCAAAGTGGCAATAAAGGCTAGATCCTGCTGCCACTGGAGCCAACAGAACGTTTCTAATCAGCTTAAGCCGGCCCACTATTATGTTTCTGGCCCTGGTCCAGCAAGGCACTTAAGCAGGTGTCTGAGTTTGAGCACGTGAATAGTCCTACTGGCTTTGGACAGAACTCTTCCCATAACTCAGGTTAGGCAGATGCTAAATACCTTGATAGGCCTGTGTTTATATTCTGCCATAGAAAGCAAAATTAAGCCTCATTTTCTCTTAGGCTCCGTTAAATAAAAGGTTTCCAAGGAAAGCTCCTTTGACTTACATAGGAATTTCAACAGCTGCAAGAACTTCTGGAGCTCAGTACACCCTGAATGCCCATGAGGTTCTTTCTGTTTAGTTTACATAGTATATGAATGATGCACACCAGGCACACACACATCTATTTATTTCTTTATTTATTTACATTTAAGTGTGTTTTACTTTAAAATTTTATACAACACGACCGTACAGAAATTCTGGGGGCTTCCTCCCCTTGACATCATCTTCCAAATGAAATCTGGATTGTATGGGTGGACTCCTTCATACCTTATGCTCCCTACCATACAGGATGTGTGTCACATAAATCAGCAGCTTTTGCAGGTGGGGTCACTACAGACCTGATAGGCCATGTGCCTGGTTGGATAAACTTTCCTAGGGTATGTACATGGCAGTGTGAGGGTGAAGCGGTCAGTGATGCCACTGGAAGTAAAAAAGGTGTCTGAAACCATTATTTCATTGTTTCCTTGCAGAGTATTTATTATGAAAACATCTTCAGGAAATTATCATACGGAATATCTCAGTCCCGATTATGGTTCTTGTTAATTTTATAGGAATTTGTCTAACAGAAATACATGAGATATGTGTGAATAACGTGTTAAAGAAGTGTTTTAATTCAGACTCTTTTTGAGATAGTCAGGAACTCTGTGAGGTGACAAATGGGTGGGATTATGAGGATACGGGAATTCAGGCAGCCCCATGCTGCCTCCTTTGCATATCTCAGTAAGACTGATTAAACTGTTGTAAAAGTGCTTCAGAGTTGTTCTTCTATTTTGTCATTTGCATTTTACTTACAAGCTCAGACCTCAGTACTTAGCCTGATGGATGCAATGTCACTGCTAAGTTTGTCTGTTAACTGAGTACTACATTATTGTTTTATCTGGTATGTAAACATACATACGAAGTCATAAATATGTGTATGGTTGTTGGAGTTTAACTGGTTCAATCATTTTAATAACTAGGCTTTTTTTACTGCAAAGGGGTAAGCATTCTGCCTCTGATCTGCCAGTACACTTAAACAATTGCACATGAGTAGTCATCTGGACATCAATGGCAGCGACAAGGTTCAAGTTAAACAACATATGGCGAAGCGCCAGGCTGAATTTGGACTGAACATGCTCCTTGCCATATTATGCAGTTTTTAGCAGAAGGTTTTAACCTTCCCCTTTCATAAATAACTATGGTTCTTACCCTTTTATAAATAAATGAACACAAGTCAGCACTGAATTATTTTCAACTGTCAGAAAATTACATATCTGAATAGACAAATGGGAAATTACTTTAAGATGAGAATGAATGTAGACTAGATTCAGAAAGTAGTTTATTGTCTCATAATGTTAGCAGAAATGTGATTTGAGTGAGACACCATTATTCCAAATCTTGTCAAGATCTAGCAGAAGAAACATTTCAATTAGTTTATTTTTCTGAGAATTTTGATTACTAAACTAATATAAAGTTGCTGTCTAGTACAATTCACTAGATAACTGAAGGTTAACACCTTTTCACATTCTTTTCCTGTTTTTAAAGAGTAGATTACTCTTTCTGCTATTGATAATTCAGGCAGTGATAATTTTAAAAACAGTCCATATGGCTAAGAATTTATATTGCCTCATAGCAGTTCTTTACTTACCCTGTCAAGTGTAGAAGCAGGAGGATGGAGCGTCATCTATTCCATCATCTTATGGAAGAGATCCCACAACACGCTGAGGAAATAAAAATAAAATTCAGCAGCTTGAACACTTCCAAAATGCTCTCTCACCTCCACCTCCATCACCTCTTTGTCCCAATATGAGCTCTATTTAGACGAAAGGCTTCCCTGTTTAATAATGGATGCCTGTAATTCATTCACATTGATTTTGTGAATTTGAATTTCCTTTAAGTAATTAATTAAGCCTGGATTTTTTTTTTTCATTTCTTTGGTATTTGTACTACAATAGTACATTTCTCTAGATCATTTTTTGCACACCTATTTTTTACTATAAATATTTGTGTAACCTAACCTCATGGTTAGATTTTTCTCAGGTGACATTTATATTCATTTCTTTAGAAAATAATTCTCCATTTTCAAATTAACAGCATTAATTAAAAAACCTCATTACAGAAGAGAGATCATAGAATCATAGAATAGTTTGGGTTGGAAGGGACCTTTAAAGGTCATCTAGTCCAACCCCCCTGCCGTGGGCAGGGACATCTTCAACTAGATCAGGTTG